GAGAGAGAGAGAGAGAGAGAGAGAGAAAACGACATTTTGTTACATAATAAGCAAAATAAAAGTTCAAGGACTGAAAAGTTGAAAGATGAGAAGAATTATGCTCTTGATCTCTTTATATACAAAACATGCTTCTTAGTAATCTTAGTGCGTGATTGCATCGTTGCACCGTTTTTCCTTTTTCTTATTCGAGATATCCAAGATCCCAAGAGTATAAAATTTTGTATTGAGTATATCTATCAATGTACCAAATTTGATTGGTAAATAAAAAATCCTTTTTACTTTTATGAAAGTTGTTTATTTTCAATAAGGCTGCCGTTACCATGGTAACCGTAGACTTAAACAAAAAAATTAAAGTTACATTTTTAGACCTGATGTTTTCCTGCATACCTTCCTATACGGCATTATCAGAAAAGTCACAGTTACCGAGATAGGTTTATAAACCAGCCCCCCTCCTTAAAGCTCACGTCTTGATTGGTATCATTATAATCGAAAATTTTTTCATAAATGTTCGGAACTTGGAAGTGACGTCATGCTAGACTCGATTCAGAGTCCGAATATAATTTTTGTTTAATCTTCGATTTATTTCGTAACATATCCACTGAAAGGTGAATATTATGGGCTTTGCCCAAGGACCTTACAACATAACCTCCTTGGCTTTGCCATAGAACCAAATGTCATAGAGGGAATGTTCACACCTTTCAATACCATGGAGGAATCATGAACACATTGCTATCCTCTGATCCCTGCCAGCTTCGCGAACAGGAAAATGGTACTGTCGTAGATGAAGATCTACCTTGAGAATGCAAACCGTTGAGATGTAGGAAAGTCCTAGCTGCGCAGACATTGTCTACGGACAGATACAGACATCTCATGGGGCTCATATTTTTATTATACTGAATGCTGCACATTGTTGACATTTAAAGTTAAAGGGATGCGAACGATGTGTGTTAGACCTGAAGTGGTCATTTTGTCAGGGAATTTTAAGTTCTGATTCTCTACAGGTCCTAATTGATGGACCATTTTCACCCTTGACACCAACAGAGGCCTTAAAAGGACACTTTATCATTATTTCCGCACCTTGTGCGAAACGCGAAACTTACGAAATGAGTTGGTGGTGAGGAAATGTTCAATACAAAAAGCTCTCTGCTCTGTGCTTGAGAAAAACTATCTGCAAACTTCTTTTGGCCTGTAAAACAACTGTAGCTTGCAATATGGCCCAATCGGAAGCCTTATGCCAATTACTAGTGCGTCATGCTGCAAAAATGGTGATATAGCTGAAAATCATTATCTAATTTTTATATGCTATGTAGAGAGAAACTATTCTGTGGATTCATCTAAAACGGATGACAGACTCCAAAGTGTTGTGTACAAATTTGAAACACAAAACTTCGGAAAGGAGAAAAATACACCAAAAAGCTGTTTAGTGGCTCACCCTGTATTTTTCTATAGGCAATAGGTTCTATTTAATATATATATGGGCCAAGAACGACGTAGGCCTACATGGTGCATAGTAAATATCGACCAACGAGGAGGGTTAAAGAAGTTTAGAATTTCTTTATTTTTACAACCTACTCCCCTTCTTCTTTCCCTTCTTCACTTTTCCTCTTTTTTCCTCTACTATAAAATGAAATAAGAAATGATGAGCTCACAAGACAGTTATAAATGGAACCACAGTTTTGACAAACACCAAAAATCCAAGACATTTTAAAAATTTGAAAGTGCATTAACTGTACTGGGTGGACAGAAGTGCATAGCATAGTTACAACACAAAATTATCTACGGGTGATTGACATAAAAATCAGTGATTTCTCTGCTTACAGTGGCAAAAAGAACTCCGGAAAGGTACCAGTACTTAACTACATTACAGACTTCAACTGTAGCCAATTAGCTACGGAAAAAAACTGGACCATTTCCAACACGTGGAAACGCACTAACGGAGAATCAAAATTTATTAATCATATTATTATACTATATATATACTATACTTTCAACACCTATTTAATTCACATCACATTTTTTACAGCTCTTTTGAGCATAATGGAGAAGTGAATTTAGTAGAGTGCTACAAAAAGCATTTTTCCTAGACTTTTGGTGAATGTGTTAACGTTCTCATCAAAAAGATATTTTAAAAATCAAATATTATATAGGCTTATGTGTTCCAAATTGTTATAAAAACCATGAATAAGCCCTAAATAACAATAAAAAACAAAAAATATCATTAGCAGTATCTACTGTGAGTGAAAACTAATTTAAGCAATATGTGGCAACATTGTTTATGAGCTGGACCAGTACATAAGCACCAAAGATTCAAAACTAATTCGGGCCCTTCATTTCCCCTCAATTTAATTTAATAATGGTTTCATTCTGATAAAATGTGAATGTTACAACAACAGTTATACACAGTGCAACAAATTACAACATTAACTGTGAGCAACAATTAAGTGGCACAACTCAAACTTCCGACATGATTGCATGCCTCGAAATACATCACAAAAATAACTTTTCATCACGTGCATAGTATTAAGCAAGTGAATATAAAGTAACGGGGAATCAATATTTATGTAAATTTATGTATCTTAGTAAAATATGCTTGGCTTACAAACCTGATTTGCCTACACGATGATGCTCATGTCATGAAAATTTCTTGATGTATGGGAAGCAAAATAGGAGAAACACAAAATATATCATAAGTGTACATCATTTATGTACACAAAAATGTCTAGCAATGACTTAATATCTTGTACTAGGAGTACTAAAAGTAATGGGAGTACTCGGAGGGGGAAAAAAAGGAAAACCAAAAAAGATGAGAACAAAAACTTCCAGAGTTATCATGATGCTTTTTTCTCACTTTTGCTAAATAAGAGGCTATGTGGACTGATTTACAAATTATCACAAAACATATCAACAATGTATCACTAGTATCATCATTCTTATCAGGGATAAAGCCATCATTCTTGCACTATGTCCTGTTGAGCCCTAACAGAGATTAACAATAAATACCTTTGCTCACACACTCACTCACTCATTCCAGTTTTCCATTTAAATTTGAATCTCACGCATGGAAGTGAACAGACTAGCAGCATATATCTAATTCCAATTCCATGATAAGGGGTTTAAAAAGCAGAATCATCCACCATATCTTTATTTCTTAAATTAATAAACCAGACTCATAATATGAATTTTTGTGTTGACAATTAATCAGTTCTAGACAATTTTGAGCAATCAATTGAATGATAAAATGAAATGCTGTGTTATATATATATTCAGTACACCCTGTATTCCTAGATCCTTGTATTCCACCATTTTCAAACGATTAATTAACACTTCCATATCAACAGCATATGAAATATGAACGAAAACCAGTATAGTTAAGGGTTCCTAAAAAAAATTAAAAAACTTTCCTTCTAATTGAGAGGACCACAAATAGATGGTTCACAGATCATTGTCTATCATTACTAATGTTCTACGGACCACCTTGTCAAATAAACAAAGAAATTAATAACAAGGTTTAAAAACAAGCATGACATAGGAACTGCTATAAGATTGTGCTTCACAGTGGCAGCCCATCGCTTGTGAAACATTGGTACGTAACTTAAATAGGATGATACAATAAAATCTTCACGTATTATATTATATAATATATGTGGGTGTGTGCGCACAGGCGCATCTGTATCCATCAGTATAAGTGAGTGTGCGACTGTGTGCGTGCGCACGTGTGTGTGTGTATGTGTGTGTCTGTATGTGTGTGTGTGTGTGCGTGTGTGCGTGTGTGTGTGTGTGTGTGTGTGTGTGTGCATGCTGCTAGCATGCATGTTCATGAATAGTTGGTATTTACATTTGTAGAGACACGACACGGTTTATGTAGGGAAAAGTTCAACTTACATGTGGTTGGTACGGCTGGTGATAATGTATAGTGCCATTGCTCTTTGGGTCATTCACTGCAACAAAGGCAAAGTGGGTATAAGAATATTAATAAGTTAAACAAGGAGCATCCTGAATGCTGACAAAATGCTTAGTCCTGATTAACTCTAAGAAACTTAGTCCAAACTTTTTAAAAACTAGGACTGTCCTGACAGTGTATTTTCAAAGTAAGGAGTTTCTACTTGAGCAACCCCTCACTTGTTAAACTAGAACATTGTAGGTGAGAGGCATGCAGAATAAGGAGGCCAGGAATAAAATGCAAAAACTTTCCTTCTAATTGAGAGAACCACAGGTAATGGCTGTTTTAACTACATGTACTTAAGTGCATAAGAACCTGAACAAAGTTGTATACATGCATGATAATTAGAAGACATTTAAATTTGAATGCTATAACTTTGGGTCTTTCTTATATAACACAAAGTTGTCTAAATCTTATCAGCCACAAGAACCACATTGTCTTTCTAGTCATATTGGGTAAATAAATATCCAGAAAAGACAGTTGGCAATAAAAGAGTTCAAATACCATGAAATATTTGTAACACAAAATGACATGTATGAAACATTTGTTGATATACTGGGCAGAAGCAATCAAACAAACATGGTTGATTGATTGATTGAGTAGATGTTTTAACTGTCATCTTTAGACCAATTTCAACAAAACTTTTAACAAACAAAATTCAACCATGAGGACATCAAGTCTGTAAATAGAGTATAACACGGACAGCTTGAATTCGTTGGGACCAGCCTCGGTAAAAGCTTGTGAAACTCCATTATTTTAAGGCTGTTGTCTCATTTTGAATTGGTATGCCTTGTGTCCCCCTTTCTGTCCCAAGGTTTTAGGAAAGGCTCATATATACACCTGCTCTTTTCCTTATTTTTTTCAAAACAACACTTGGGAGAATTTGAAAGCAAAAAAATATAAGCTGGACTGAGATAGCATAAACGATTTTTTCCCCCCACTATTATTGAACAATTTAGACAATAAAGACTCATCTAATCGCATAAAAGTCATTTGTAACTTTAAGTGCCTCTATCAAATCTTACCTTTCAGTCTGTCGTTGAGTCTGTCAAGGGATTCCATGAGCCTTTGTTCTTCAATGGACAAAGCAGACTGACCGCCTGAAAAATTTTCATTTGGGTTGAGTGTGGCATGGTTCCTATTACAGTAGTCTCCGCTCAAACGCACACTTTCTTCATATAACGAGTATTTTACTACATAATTTAGAAGTTCAAATGCATGGTCACTTCTTCTGAACCCAAGCTTCGATCTGCAAAACATGCCAACAGGAAAAGATTGACAAGGGGAAATATTTGCTGCAGCCTACGCAGCTTGCATAAGACAAGCCTAGACGAGACTGACCTTCAAGCAGAACAAAGAAAGATGGAGTTATATTTTAATTTAGCACAATTTGTGCTTTCAGCAAGTGGTCATAGAGAGTAGACATTCACTTTCATCTTTATTTGTTTGTTTTCTTGCTATTAATCAATGAAGTATACTCATTTCAATACCTTGATTTACACTTCTAGAGAGTCACCTTTAACTCATTCGCTACGTCGAGCCGTGGGGGGGCGGCGCGGCTAAAGTGCCGTCAGCACGCTAAGCCGCCCCAGGCCGCTCGAGAACCGATCTTCAATTTTAGCTTGGATTCTATTCCAATCCACATATCCATGTTAAAATAAAGGTCATAAATATAATGTTGACTTTCGGGTCAAGCATTTCCACTGAAAATCGGAAATTTAGATTCAGTTTTGAAACGCAATTTCGTAGTTTATGCGACATTGTTTTATCGCGATGCCAAAATTATAGCCCGGACACCAGTAACGTTTTAGTAATTTTACACAACAAAATCTATCATTATTTTGCCCGCTAAAGAAATGTAGGACTCTTTTTTATAATATTGATACGATTGGACTCATATTGCCAATGCACTGTTATTGAGAAATCAATATTTTTGAGTGCTAGAATCTAGATCTAGATCTAGATCTAAATTGTCAAAATATTGTTTTCTCCCCCAAAATCACTACTTTTTGATGAAATTACACAAAAAGTGCAACTCAAGAGATGTATAGGTTTCCAAATGCAATTCAGAATAATTCCAAATAAGATACGAGTGGATTTTTTTCTGTTTGTGATCGTTTTTCAAGATTATCAAAAATTTTATTTTTATTTCAATATCGGATGTTATGTTCAAAATGTACAAATATTATGGAATGTAGGTAAATAACTGCAAACTTTTCAATATTTTCCAGTTCTTTATTCATTTATGGTTATTTTGACTAGGTGCAAACATATTTTTTGAGTTTCACCAAAGTTTATTAATTTTTTATTTTCAAATTTTATCCGCATCCAATCAAAATTGTGTTGCATAATCGCCTCTTACAGGAACCAACGTTGAAAAATACCTAAATAAACATTACAGATGTATTCTACAAACCATACTGAAAATATTGGTATATACGTTGATATTTATTGGAATTTGTGGCCCCATGGACCTTTTAACTGCCCACTAGTCATCATCTCATTCGCCCTCCCAAAAAAAAATTTGTCCACAGGCAGAAAATAATGCGTAGCAAATGAGTTAAGAATGTTTTATTCTGATTCTTTACAAACTCAGGTCTTCACTGGAGATTCAATGTTAACTCCTTCGCCACGCCGAGCCGTGGGGGGGCGGCGCGGCTCAAGTGCCGTCAGTACGTTAAGCCGCCCCCGGCGGCTCGAGAACCGACGTTCAATTTTTAGCTTGGTTTCTATTCCAATCCACTTATCCATGTTAAAATAAAGGTCATAATATAATGTTGACTTCCGGGTCAAGCGTTTCCACCGAAAATCGGAAGTTTTGATTCAGTTTTGAAACATGATTTCGTAGTTTATTCGACTTTGTTTTATCGCGAAGCCCAAATTATAGCCCAGACACCAGTCTTAGCACTTTTACACAACAAAATGTATAATTATTTTGCTCACTAAAGAAATGTAGGACTCTTCTTTATAATATTGATACTATTGGACGCAAATTGCCGGTGGACTGTAATTGAGAAATCAATATTTTTGAGTGCTAGATCTAGGCCTAGATCTAAATAGTCAAAATATTTTTTTCTCCCCAAAATCACTACTTTGGGGTGAAATTAATCAAAAAGTACCACTCAAGACATGTATAGGTTTATTCCAAGTGCAATTCTGAATAATTCCATATAAGTTAAGCGTATTTTTTTCTGTTTGTGATCCTTTTTTCAAAATTATTTTTAAAAATATATTTTTTTCAATATCGGATGTTATGATCCAAATGTACAAACATTATGGAATGTATGTAAATAACTGCAAATTTTTCAATATTTTCCTGTTCTATATACAGTTATGGTTATTTTGAGGTATCATTTGACTAGGTGCAAACATGTTTTTTTAGTTTCACCTGAGATTATAAATTTTTTATTTTCCAATTTTATCCGCATCCAATCACAATTGTGTTGCATAATCGCCTCTTACAGGAACCAAAGTTGAAAAATATGCAAATAAATAATGCAGGTGTATTCTACAAACCATACTGAAAATGTTGGTATATAATATGTTGATATTTATTTGAATTTATGGCCCCAAAGACCTGTGAACTGCGCACTAGTCATCATCTCATTTCGCCCTCCCGAAAAGAATTCGTCCACAAGCCGAAAATAATAGGTAGCGAATGAGTTAAATAACAGGTTTGACTAATTCAAGAGGGCTCTATTCATCCTCTGATAGTTGTTTTTAATCATGCAAATAATTATAACACACTGATAAAGTAGAAGGCCTACTTTCTTTGAGAAACATATAATATTGTATCATAGGAAACTTAAGTGTAACCTAGCTGTGATCATGTACACAATCAAATCTTTAAAAAAATGCTCATACCTTTATAACTCGACAAGCATCAAGCCCACCCTCCTCCTCAGTGTGTGTGTGTGTGTCTGTGTCTGTGTGTGTGTGTGTGTGAGTGAGTGGGTGTGGGTGAGAGAGAGAGAGACAGAGACAGACAGACAAATGGACAGACAGATGGAGACAGACAGAGAGAGAGACAGAGAGACAGAGAGACAGAGAGATTAAGAAAGAGAGAGAGAGAGAGATCTATCTTAGCATACCTCGATTTCGGACAAGATTGTGCAATTCTTGTTTGTTCTTGGCATCTTCCATGGCTGTCTGGATGTGGCTGTCTGTCAAAGATTGCTTGGCAAGTCTTTCTGCCATCATGAAAGCTGCAGTGCTTTCCGAAACTGTCAATAATTTTTTAAAACTTGGGTTTCATACTATATCCTTTAGCAGGATATTTGAGTATCCAGGTTACTATTCATGCAATGCAACAAAAAAAACAAAAAATAATTGTATTGCATCATGATGAAATCTGGTGCTCTTCAAAATAATATCAAATAAATCAGCATTTTCCCCCCTGTTGGACAATTTCAGCGTCTTTTATGGTTCCGCTCCACATCTTTCATGTCCAGTAAAAAGCACATTTCTCTGTGGATTTTACTGAAAAATGCTGATCAAAGACACAAAAAAATATAAATTTACATTTCAAGCTTTGGAATTCACCATACTTTATCACAGGAATTAGGTGATCCCAAGGACTCTTCTCTCTTCACGGCGAGCCCAGTTGAATGGGCAAAATGACCGCTAACCATGATAAAACTGCACAAACAGCAGTGCTTTCTTTACAAAGGATATAGTATAGGTGGGCTGGGCAACCTCAAAGAAGCCGCTTAAAGCAAAGGGGCCTTATGTCCCGGAACAGTCCTGACCTGGTGCGGTATGTTTTGAAACTAAAAAATCAACTGTGGGACAAGGCAGGTCTGTCTCGGGACAGGACTGTCGTAGTGCGGGATGGGCCTTAGAAATCTTTCTCCCTTTTTGTTTCATGCAGTATCATTTGTGTCATGACATGTTGAAATCAGACGCTCTGCAATTTTTGGGCATTTAGAGTTATTGGTATTATCCTAAAGCTTGTTCACTTAATTTGCTTTTGACCTTAAAAAAAATATTCAGCTATACTGAATAGAAGATGAAATATTTGCGATTGAAGGAAGTAGGGTTTGCTTGATGTCAGAAGTAAAATTAGAGAGAAAATGCCCGCCAAAAGTTACCGACTTCTAAAGCTTGAGTTTCTTTGGAAACTGCAAAGTTTCATTTAATGTGCCTTTCCTTTCATCAACGTTTTTCTGTAAATTCTGCTCAGAAATGTGTTTTCAAATGGATATAAAATGTGTTGAGCCCCCCCCCCCCCCCCCCCCCCCCAAATAAATGTAAATTGATAAATTGACCAGCGTGCAGGTTTCTTTGATATAATTAATTGTGGTATTTATTTTCAGCAACTGATTTCACCACGATGTTACACTTACACATTTACTTTTTGCTTTCCAAAGCTGTAATTATCTTTCTACCTATTCAAAATGCACAAATCTTGATATAAGATAAACAGTTGACAAAGACTTTGATAGAGCTACAAATTCATTACAATGGCACAATTCAGAGTTCAGGAAATCTTAAAGTCTCATTTCACACCAAAAAAACCAACCCTCAAAGGGAAGAACATTCATATGTTGGCCAGACAGAAACAACTTATGGATAATAAAAAAGTGAGACCTACAAGATGCCCACTTCCATAACCTGCTTTTGGCACAAAAACTCCCCAAAAGTAATAGCATAACTGATAAAACTGGAGGGTGATATGGATTCTTCTAGGGCCATGAGGCAGAGTTGTAACATTTCTACAAAAGTACATTAATTCCAATCTCTGCCATTTACCATTGTCCTGAGGTTTGTAGGAAAATGCAATGGGAGTTGGTGGGTTGTCTGAAGTAGGGGGCTGGGAGGGCTGGCGGCCATAGATGGCACTGGTTGCGCGCTGTGTTGTTATAACAGGAACAGATGGTCCTAAGGCAGAGGCCGACTGAACTCTCCTTTGCTTCAAAAGTCCATACCTGTGAGAATAATGAACCGTCAGCTGAGTGTGAAGGTACCTCGAGTCATTTCAAGAGTGTCAGGGCCAATAAGTTCAGGAACATTTTTTTCACACAGCAAAAGCAAAAGACCGCCTCAGTCATTTTTTAGAAGTTCCTAAGTTTGAAACTTTAAAAAATCATTTTAAAATGTTTCTTGCTCTTATAATAGGAACTACAATGAAAAAATTCAATTTGCCAAGAACATTTTCTTCAATGGATCAGAAAGAGCTGTAAAAATGATGAAATTCACCATTCAAACCATTAAAATCAGATAATAAATTAGCAAGTTATCAAGGTTCAAATTCATTCAAAACGTAGAGAATTTCACACAACTTGCAAAACAAGCAAAAAGTTGGACTTTGAACAGTCACACAATCATGTAAAGACAATGCATACCCAATTTTTATGCTTTCTTGAAGTCCGAGGACAATATTGAGGCATACAAAGACTAAAAAAATCCTCAGGCTTATAACTATATAAAATTGTATTGAAATTTGCTTTTCAGTGAACAATTTTTGCTTGCTACATCAAAAAAGGCCAATTTAAGAGGGCCTGTGGTTTGGAAAATTATCATCCTGTGATGAATTCAAAATTTTTTAGCACACTGAATGCAAATTATATGCCTTTAGATTTAACACCAAATACTTCTGATAATAAGAGAAAAGTTCACCTTTACTTTCATAATTTTGCTCACACTGGTATTGGTATGGATCTACACTTCCATAGATTATCTTGATAAAAATAAGTAGGCTATAATGTAATATTATTGAATAAAAATCACAAAAACGGAAAGTAGTGGAAGCAAGATTAGGGTAGACCCTAAAAAAAATTGCAACAAAAATAAAAGTTATTTGGTTCGACAGATAAAATTGGGTGTATTAACATATTTAAAATCGGCACTTGAAATTGTGGAGGAAATTGTTTTCAAATGCGTTAAAAGTTGTCAAAAAAGCAAAACTGATATTACGGCCAAATCGGTTATCATGCTTTGACGCGATAATTTTTATATACATTTGTATGCATTTTCCAGAAAATGAGGTACTCGTCATCGGTATCTGTGCTTTTACGTCAACAAAGTAATGATTCATGTAAAAAGTATGGGAAGCCAATATATTAAGAAAATGTTTTTTCTCACACCCGCAGTCGGAGCTGTTCGAATCGCTGGATATGTTTACTGTGTAATTTCTCCTCCAGAGAATTGCCCTTGTGCAGTTGACATAGCAAGGTGTGAATGGTATTCTGACAATTGTACAACATAAAAAGAAAAACATAGATGTGACTAAAGGGCACCAAGTGCACATTTCATGTCACCGATCTTACAAAAGTGCAAATTCTTTCACAAAACATAGAAAGATTAGTCATAGTCAAGGCCGGTCATTACTTTGTTTCCTGCCTGAAGGCAAAACAATATGAACAATTAATATTCAAGATCTGATGACCATTTTGGAAGACCACCTGCATGAGGTGAATGGCAAAGTATGTTTCTGGATCACAGTACCAGGAAAAGAAACAACTGATGGGGTGCAAAAAAAAGAAAGAGAATAGCTGGGATCGATGGGGAGCAGGTGTTGTTACATTTAAGTAATCGGCTTCTTCAACTATACGAATACGAGAATTTTATGAAACACCAAATGACATTAATGATGCCAAGAAGAAGCAAATTGACAAGGCAGTTCATCAATTAAAATTTATCAAAAATCTATATTTGAAAAAGAAGTCTATCCATCAGTGAACCTATTTGGATATAGTTATGGAGAAGAACACGCACAAAACTTGGTGGCCCCTTGGTGCTGTTTCTTGAAACTTTCAATATGTACTTCAATTCACATCTGAAAATAGCTGCCAGCCGACCTATATCTATGACTGCTCCCTTACAAGAAGAAATTTGTGAACTTTTTCATCGCCACTTCTCCTTAAGGCTTCTTGCGAACTCACTGAACGCACTGGGACTCTGCTCCCCATAAGCAGAGGTTCAAAGTTTTAAATTGAATGCTGTTGTTGGGTCAATAACTGGAAATGCTCATGACTATAGCACACAACTGTATTCAGTTTGAGGCATTCAACTTTGACCACAACAGAAGGACTCTAGATGGAGAAAAGACATTTCATAGCATGGAGATGACAGCAACACTCACAACTACTCAACTGAGAGAAATGTTTATATCTCGGTCATCAGTGTAAAAATCCACCACTTTCCAGGTGGTTCAACATAAAGATGCCACTGGGAGCGAGAAGACTGGATGCAACAGAGTATAATTCTTTAAAAGAGTATCTTGAAGTCTAGCAGTGGTCTTTCAGATACCATTTCTCAGCCACAGTGCTGGGGCTGAAAACTTGACTCCGGTAAACTCTTTCCAATTCATACGGACAAGAAACCAATGCAACTCGTGCTTCTCCAAAACTGTGAGATATTCATATTTATTAGACTGCAGTTCCATGAAATGAACCTGCAAGAAAAAGGAACTAGCTTTCCTGCCTGCAAATTTATACAGAGGTCCCAGTTGCTCGAACATCAGGGGCTGTAACACAAGATGACAATAATGGAGACAAAGATAGCATGTCCGAAGAAAATCCCTTCTTGTCACAATGAATGTTGGCTGAAATTGTTTTGTCCACACCTGAAATGTCATTGACTTAAGGTGACTGTCTTCTCTTCTTCTTCTTCTTCTTCTTCTTCTTCTTCTTCTTCTTCTTCTTCTTCTTCTTCTTCTTCTTCTTCTTCTTCTTCTTCTTCTTCTTCTT